GTTTTATCTGTGTTCATCCTCTTTTGACATAATGTATCCCTTTATCCTATTTTATCCGGAACCCTCATGTTTCATCCAAATGTACTGCAATGTATCTGGTACATCCCACTTTATCTTGGCTTCTCCTATCGATCTTTCCCAGTTTTTCCATATTTGTACCGATTATTCTCGTTTTATTCCTATTTGTCCTGTTCCATACCGGTTTATGTGCAAAGTGTCACAGGTTGAACCAAAAAGAATTTAATTGGGCGATTTTTCAGGTCCCATTTAAGACTTTTCCCCCCTACACATATGGGTCGTAAAGTTAAGCCCCACGAGGCTGCAACCACCCAAAGTTTTAAGTAAATATCCAGGTTTTTTTTTTCATACTTTAGAGACAGTTTTTGCTCGGGTATCCTGAAAATTTTTGGCTGCTAGTAATACAGCATAGGCCAAATTTGAGGTAAATATTAATGCCTGGTAAGTTTTTAGGGAGAATTTGAGAGATCCTCAACTGAAAATGCGTCAAATTCGGTGTCAACTCTTAGATGTTTGCAGTTTTCACTATGGATTCAAAAAGAAGGAAAAAAATATGACTGGTATGTCCTTGGAGAATTTTAATGAGATCAGTCGTTTATGAGGTATGCCTTAACACTGGTTGGAAATTTGTTCCCCCTCTTTTTCTTGTTTCACCCATCCTTAACTTAATCTACCACCTATGACTGATGCATGGGTTCAAACGAAAAGCAGGTAAAAAGAGAGGAGAAATATTTCCGAGTGTTGATGAGTCATGATCTGTGGATAAGAAAACCGTTGTGTTGCAAAAAATAAGGGGAACCGAGTGACATAGTGGTTGACACCAACCCAAATCAAACAGTTAAGCACTCCCTTTTTAAGGGGCACGGCTGCACTTAAATGCTGAATATCTTGGTAACGATTCATCCCATCAAAAAAATGCTGAAATTTCCGCATTCGTAATTTTTCACATTCTTTCTAAATTAAAATGTGTAGTCAAAACGACAGTTATGTCACCATACATAAAAAATTTAATACATTTTAAGTTGTGGATCCTCTAAACACTCATCAAAAAATTACACAACAATTTACGATTTATCATACTCATTTATTTGGCTTTGAAATGGTTTTGAATGGTTAAAAATTACTTCTAGCTACAAATTTTTATGACAATCGACCCAAAATTATTCCAAAAATTGATCCAAAGATGCAGGTATTTTTAAAACTTTTGGTGGTTGTGGCTTCATGGGGTTTAACTCTAGAACCCATGTCTGTATGAAAATAAGCCTTATTTTGACCTAAAGAATCACCCCCTGAGATTCTGCTCGGGCGTCGACCCCAAGAAATCCAAATCTAACGGTTTTGCAGTTCTCAACGTATCGCTGATAAATTCGACTGGTCCAGGGCTTGTCCAGTACCCCATCAGCAAGGTNGGGGGGGGGGGGGGGGAGGGCTCCGGGACTGTCAGATTTGGATTCCTTACGGTTAATTACACAAGTCAACACCTTTTTTCTGGGTCTCTACGTCAGTTTTATGCTCTAGCATTTCATGGAGCTGGGCCCGACTTTAGGGTGTCAATATTTTGCACAGGGATGGGCCGATTTTGGACTTTCTGGTATGAATTCAGATCAAAATTGTGACACGGATCTCAATTTTTAAAGGCAGGACTCCCCATTTAGTAGCCTCAAGGGGTCAGGGAGGGAAGGGAATTCAGGATGGTGAAATTCGGATTCCTTGGGATCGGTTTCCTCTTCGCCCTTGCAATCCCCGACTTCATCCGACTCGAAATAACTGTGCAGAAAATCTGATACAGGTGGTCGGGGAAACACTACTGTGTTTGAAGAGCTTTTATGTTTCTCAATGATTTTCCAAAAGTACTTTCTGTTATACTTCTGCTACCTACATTTCTTTTAATTTTGTTAATGGAATTTCTTTTTTTACTTTTTATTTTTCATTTTTGTCTTGTATTTACTTTTTTCTTGGAGGACAGTTTGGTGCTAAAATCTCTGTGTCTCATAGCTTTAGCAGCTTTAGTTACTTGCCTTTTTTATAACATTATAAAATCTTGTTTTGAGAGCTGTTTCCTCAATTGCCTGCGTGAAGATTCCTAAGCCATCTGAGTCAATATTTTTCTTATTTTCCTCACTATCAAGTAGCCTGAGCTTCAAATTCTCACTAAACTCTTTGGCTTCCTCTCCGCTCCCTTAAATAATGCTACTTCCATACTCGATTTTGGCACATTTTTGGGTGTAGGATTTACCACTTTGAATGAATTCAGTTTTATTTTTAAAGTGCATGAAAAATGGCCGGATACCGTTAATTTATTCTACACTTCAAAATCTTGTATCAGATGTAGGGTTTGTGAATTTTCAGACAAATCCATCTCACTTCTTCCTTTTGCCGTCAATAAATAAATTGAGCTGGTGAGTAGAGCCTGTTTCAGATAAAATTTAATTTTTCGCTGTACGCGCAAAATAGAGAATTGCCTATCCCTATCATGCAGTGGAAAAGGACAAATTATCCAAAAGAGACGATGCTAGAGATTTTCCGACCGTTTATTAAGAATGGTAGCACCTGACGTTTCCATGGTTTCAGCTAGTAGGGTACCTACCCACTCAATTCACTTTTTTATGACTTCATTTTTTTCTGTATTTATTCAGATTTATTCTAGTGATGAATAATTCGTCTTTAGTTGAAAATTCTTTTAATTTACCAACTCTTGTGTTACACTCTCCGAAAGCAATGATATGAGCATCTGTCAATTTTTTAATTCACTTCATTTCAGTTTAATTTACTTTTTCATCAATTTTTTTCCTATATTACTCGATTTTTTCTACTGAGCAAATCGTCATTAGTTGAAAATTACTTTAATTTACCAATTCTTGCGTTAAACTCTTTCAAGGCAACGATATGAGCATCTGCCATGTTTTCAGTTTTTTTCTTTTAGCACCATCTCAAATAATTCAGTGCACACATAATTTTCTCGGATTGAGATTGTACAAACAGCTCCTGTTAACTTTTTGCATCCAATCGATGTCTAGATGTATTATAACTTGTCACTTCCCTTGGGCGTTCAGATTTACATTACCCTTTGTATTGGAGCGTTTTTTATCATAAATAAGATGCTCCCAGATGCCCTACCACTTGACTTGCTCATAGTAGCATTGCTGGAAAACATAATAAAATGAATAAAATAGTAATTGAAGGGCTTCAATGACAAGGTGCATGAAAGCAGTTTTTACTCTCCATTTTCCATCTCCATCTCTCCGAAAATGTTTCTGTTATCACCATGATGTTGTAAGATTTTTTCTCTTCTAATTCCGTATTCGTTAGGTTGCTTTCGTTTGACCAGCCGGAGCAATTCCACGTTAAGAGTTTCCGGTCTGGTTAGGCACTCTGGTCCCTGTAACAGTGCTTCAGGCTTGGTAAAATGCTTTGCGGAATATCACTAACATTTTTGTTCACTTTCTTATTGTAACAAAGGACCCCGCAAACTCCCTTATTGGAAAGTGCACCACGATCGATTTTTAATTTTTCATTGCATTCAATGCCTCTCAAGATGCTGATCAAAAGCCATCATTGCGCCAACGTTCTACGAAGCACCGTTTTCGCACAACACGCCCGGAAAGTTAAAATTATTCGGCGATTAAGAGTCAGAAAGAATCCTCATTTCAGCACTCGAGTGAATGGTCGGCTGTGTGTCAACAAGGAAATGAAGTTAACTCTAGCACCGAGCGGCAGTCTTATCTCGGATGCCGCACGCCTTTTTGCTTTATGATCCAAATTAGTTTCGTGATGAGCGTAAGAACAGGAAAGTCGGAACAAAGCAGTGAACGTCAAACGGACGAGAGCGGGAGGGAGATAGACCCAGAGTAGGTAGGAATAGATAAGAAGGCAAGGCACTCGGTATGTTTTACCTTAATTCACATCAGACCTGTTCTCGAATGCCTTGTTCTTTTTGACTCTTTATCGCCGAATAATTGAAGCGTTCCGGGCGTATTGTGCGAAAATGGTGCATTTCAGAAAGTTGGCGCAATGATGACTTCTAATCAGCATTTTAAGAGGAATTGAATGCAATAAAAAAAATTAAATATCGATCGTGGTGCACTTTCTCATACGGTGTGTGTCGGTTCCTTTCTTTTCAAAATATGGCAACTGCTCAAAGAACTATATGCGTTATATCTATGTACACGAATTAAATTTACAAAGGCATCAAGAGACAAGGTATTATTAGGTAATACAGATTATCTATTAAACCAATAATTTTGGAACTCTCTATCTTTTGCTCTAAAAAATATAATTTACAAAATTGCTCTCTTCTGTGTCGTTTTCGAAGGAAATAGGAGTGAAAAATGAATTGTTTACCATTCATATACCTTTTTATCAACAGACACGTGGCACTACTCCTGAGGCAGGCCAGTTATAGGTACGTGCGCTCAGGTGCAGGTAACACAATAAACTCTGTGCTGCATGCTGCATTATCAATCAGAGGCATTTATTTATCATTTGTCTTAGGTCTCCTGTTCGCGAGATATGATAGGCTCCAAGTCCCAATCTGATGTCATAACATGTCTACTAGATCATACGTATAACTGAAGAATGTACTTTCCAGCTTCCTTTCTCTTGAAAATGGAACAGAGAAAGTTTAATTTTGAATTTTATTGTGCTCAGGAGTTTTTAAAGAAAATCATATTTAATAATGGCGAAATTCAGCTGGTCCCAAATCCATTGCTTTTTCGTGCAGTGTCGTTCATGAGTCTACTTTTCATGAGGGTCTTTTGGTTAACCTTTTGGTAGTTGAAAGCGGAAGCTCCATACATTTTAATACTTAATCATTCTTTTAGTTTCTAAAGTGGCTAAGGATAGGTAGTTCCAAAGTTTTCACTTCATCTTCTTAGGAACTGAATTTATATTAAAATAGTTTCTCCTGGGTGCCCTAAGTTATAGAATCGCTTGGTCGTCTCATGTCTAGTTATCACCTAAAAGCATATGGTTTTTTCCTTCAGGCCATTGGAGCGAGGCATGTCATGGGGCCACCCCAAAGTGGGAACAGTCGAGCCAACAGCGGTCGTGCGGAGAACGCACTCGACGCTCTGCTAGATGAACTTCAGACATTTTCAAAACAACCCCCTCCTACTAAAGATTCTTCTCAACCAGCTTCAGTCGCTTGTGCACACTCTTATCCTCCAGAACCCAAACCTCCAGTTCCGGAACGCTCTGTGGAACTCATCAACAAGCGAGTTCCTCCGCCTCCACCACCTCGTACCAGCTCTAAATCACCCCTTGCGTCCCCAACTACCATCAGCCCATCTAGCACTGTTACCACCGTAACAACGTGCAATGTTGGAGGCTCATCTGTCCATCTCAAACGTAACAAGCCGTCACGATCAAGCTTGAAGAAAACCAGTTCTACCTCTGAATCAGCGATTTCCAACTCATCTAGTTGTGAAAGTGTCAACTCAATCAATTCGCAAGACGGAACGCAAAGCAAATCTCGTCAGGAGGAGCTTGAAACGCGACACCAAGAGTTATTACGCAAACAGAAGCAACTTCAGGAACAGTACACTCGATTGCAGCAGCTACAACGGTCAGGTAATTCCACATCACTCACATCTCCTCATCAGGTTGCCCCTGACCTGTTACAATTAAAGAAAACTGGCTCTGAATCAAACTTACTTCAAAAATTTAACTTTAGCCTGTCAGTTTCGCCAGGTTTATCAGGATCATTATCACAATTAGCACAAGTTGTCACTATGCAGACAACAGATGGAAATAAAACCGAGATTGATTCAGTAAATAGTGATATAAATACCCCTGCTAATATTGGTAATCGTGCAGTAGCCAATAAAGTATATGAAACAGACATTCTTTGACTTGCCAATTCTCAGGTTTCCTTTACACTAACCATCTTCTCTTATGTTTTTATTTAAGGCTCATAACTTTTAATTGGCTCTTTTTAATGCATCAACTAAGATAAAGGTCATCAGTAAAGTAGGGTACACAGAAAGATTGTTAACTTTTTGAAGCAAGAGATTTGATAAGAATTACAGACTATTTTTTCTATACATATACATTTAGAAAAGCGGAAGAAAATTGCAGAATCTCTGTGAAATTTCCAAGGATCGGAAAATTTACTCGGACGTGAAAGAATAAGTTTTTCGTTCCCCTCTCTGAGTATAACTTTTTCTGCTGTCTCTTTTCTTCCTCCACTGCTTCCCTCAAGAAACAGTCGCAATGTTTTTGATCCTGGCTTCTAATTTCAAAGTGAACTCAGTCCTAAATACCGATAAATTTTATTAGAATTTTATGTATCCATATTGATAATCAAAGGTATCAATATTTAAATGATATTGGCGCACCTTATCATAATATTGAACTACCATCTTATCAGTAATGACCCCCATTTGTCGATCCATTCATCTCAGTTATTCTCAAGCTCTGCTGTGGCTTAGAATGGAGAAGCTGCATGGTTACCTACATGGTTATGTTCACACGGTATCCTGAAACTCGTTATTATTACCCAGTCCTCTGACTCTGTTATCAACGTCTTAAAGCCCTCTAGAAAAAATTACAGACTTGCTCTCCGTATCCAGCCTCTTCGAATAAAAGTGACAGGACTAAACAACAAACAACTCATTTTAAGCAGTGGAAATGACGGTAAACTTACCCAAGTTGCCAAAATCCTTTAAGCCTATTGTATTTACTTTTTCTCTGTATGAATGTACACAATTTCAAGAACCTAAAATCCTGATGCTTGTAGTGGAAGATTATTAAATTTTCTTTTCATAATTTTGTTTCCCATTGGACAAATACATTAGTCTTGGAATATTGTATTGGAGTATTACATCTGTTTAGTAATTGTAAGTGCAGTGCATTTTTCTTCCCACCTTTTTTTTTTTTTTTTTTTTTTTTTTTTTTTTTTTTTTTTTTTTTATTTATTTATTTATTTATTTATTTATTTATTTATTTATCTATTTATCAAAATGAAGAATCCAGACAGAAAATAACATTGAGAGTTGAAGCATTTTTTTATTCTTTTTTACTAATTTATTTTCTCGTATTAAGCATAAGGGGTAATTTAAATAAAATTCAATTGTTGAAATGTGAAATTGTTTACCTCTTTAGAATGTATTTCATTTTTGCCTTCAGTTAAGAGTCTCAAAATCTGAAAATGTTTGTATTTAGGGAAGATTAAGGTTGCGCTGATGGGCTTTATATGTGTAACATGGTGTCAAGGACCGGATGAGTCAGGAAAATCGAGATTTATCGGGGCATTAAAAATTTCAGGGAATCCGTCCCAGAAACCGGGAATCTCTTCTTCCACCGCCGAGGTACCATTTTAAGGTTTATGTCATTGCACCTAAGCCACCATTATTGACCTCTCGAATCCCCAAATCGTCAGAGTAATATAAACATCAAAATCGCTTATGGAATTATAAAGTCAACAAGCGCCAAAGAATCGGCTGGAAGATGAAAGAAAATCGATTTTCATTTTTGGAACTGCAAAGAATTTTATAAATTTTCTCCAAGCAATCCTAGAGAAGTAGGAAAAAACGTTGGTTTTTCATCGAGGAATGATCTCTCGAAAATCAGGGAATGAGCGTCGTCCAGAATTTGAAACACCATGGTGGAAATGTACTCTAATTATCTGAAGAAACTCCAAGTTTTGGTGTGAAAATAAGTATGAACAATCCCTCTCACCAATTTTACGTAATAGGAACCCTGCATATAATGGACGAAGTAAGACATTTTTTTACACAATTTTGACTGTACAGTGTCCACCTAGTAAAACATTTTTGAATGAAGATGTGCAATTATCCTGTAGAAAGGTTTTAACGGACAGATTTTCTTGTTTGTATCAGCCTCCTTACAAATCGATTTACAATTTTGCATTTTATATCTCCGGAGAATTTACGCCAATTTTGCGACCGAAGAGTAAACTTTGGAGGGGGCACCATCCTTGTCTTTACTCTCTTTAGGGAGTTACTTTTGGGCGTTGAGTGGGTCAACTTGAATTCTTGGGGGTCAGTTAGGGTTTAAATTGATTGTTTTCTGCAAGGTGAATGCAATCTGTTTGCGATCCGAAAAGGAACCTCGCATACTTTAAAACTGAACCCCCCCCCCCCCCCNCGTTTACCCCCCAAAAGCGGCTAGAGAGCCTTCGCGAACATGAAATTCGGATTCCTTGGGGTCGATCACCTCGACCATTTAGAGGGGGTCTTTTTTCGGGCCTTGGGTGGGCCAATTCCAAATTTTTAGGGGTCAATCTGGAGTATAATGCTCCATACTTTTCAATTCTAATTCGATTGAATCGCAATTCGGTCGGGAATCCCGTTTTTTAGGATCGCGCCCTCCCCCCTCCCCCCCTTTACTCTCTATGGGGGCTGGGGGTAGGAGGTTTGGGAACACAAAGTTTGGATTCCTTGAGGTCGATTCCGTATTCAACCCCACGGTCTATGACTTCTTGGGACTTAATAAAATCGAGAAAAAAGCATGTCACGGTTGGTCTAGAACACCGTGTACTAGGTAAGCCTGGGAATATCCTAACGTCTGTGAATTGGCCATACTGTGCGTTAACTGAAACGAGGTCAATTATTGTTGAATTTTTTAGCCCTTGACAGACCTCCGAAAATAAAATACCCTCGAAATGAAATGGTAACTTTAAAGCTTTGTCTTCAAAACTAATAGTATTTACACAGCCCTTGTAACAACGTTGAAATCTAATGATTTGACCATTCCATATGGTCTTTTTAGGATGTGTAGGAAGGAAATTACCACGTTGATCCTGAGAACCCTTTGTGGTGCCATCTTTTTTTCAGGGAAAATTACAGTGGTTTACACTGGAGAAAACAGGACGACGACAGGTATTAAAAATAGTGTTTCCGCGTATAAAATACGATTGAAAAGGTGTGAAAGCTAATTAAGCTACAATGAGATATGTCTCTGTGGTAACAGAGTTCTATATACATTCGCATTGTAACGCTATAAACCCGTGTGAATAAAGTCACATCCACAGTATTATTATGAATTTAATTATTATGACGTTGAATAGTTATTCAATAGTTCTGATTGTTGCTAAATGTAAGCAACAAAAGGTAAAGCAAAAGTAGAGTTTGTGCTAGTAAAAAATTTGTCAGACTGAAAGGAGGAAAGTCTTTCACTTCTTTCACGTTCAAAGAAATACCAAGAAACATTACTGAGAGAGCAACTGAAAATCGCATATATAACGCAGGGAGTGGAATAAGGGGTCAAAACGCCCTTAGATAAACCGGGGGNATAAAGGGGGGGGGGGGTCCTAGAAGTAGCCCTCGAAGCCGTAGGGAGCTGTTTGTCCCTCTGAAAACATTTGAACTACTTTCGCAACAAGGAATGTGGCTTTTTCCTCATTTGGGTCATTTTATGTCAACTGTGATAGGCCCGTCACCCGCGCCCTCCGATTTGGCTGAGAATTGGTAAATAGGGTCTTCACATCATTGTAAGAACCTAATTTTTAAGGGCTTTCTCATACGACGCTCCGCTCGCGAGATATTGACCCCCAAAGATGGCGTGGATTTCAACGATATTTGAAAAAGTCCGTTTCAACGAATTCCATTTCCCTGACTCCCGTTTTTTTACCATTATGACTCTCTGTATTGATCTATCATACAGGGTGTCCCAAAAGTCCCTTTCACCTCTCTACAATTTTAGCTAATTAATATTTTGAAATGGAACTTTGGGAAAGTTTATAGATTAATGTTAGCTACGAGGAGGAACCAAAAAAAAAAAACCCGAAATTTTCCTGTAACTTGGCAATGATGGAAAGTATCTGGGTTCCACCGCTAGGAGGTGTAACTCGGAGCTATGAAGAGTCACTAGGCCAAACTTCAACGTCGTAGCATATCTTCTTTTATTTAGGCGAGACTTGGTTTAAGGGGTTGTCGGGCGAGTTCGTCGTTTTTGAAGATGGGTCAATTTCAGTAACAACACTTAGCGCTCAAGATTTTCTCTCTTACTCGATAAAAACACGACTTTCTCTGTTAACCTTTTGAAGTGCTGCTTCTGGAGGACAAACCTCATCAAAAATTTTACTGTAAGTAGGCTTTTTGCTTTTCAAATGGTGCTGTATCGCCCAAAGCCCCTGTATGGTTCCAAACAGCCATCGCCATTTGGAGCCCCTGTATGGCTCCAAACAGCCATTGCCATTTGGATAGAACCGATGCAAATGATGGATAAAATTGCATTTTTGTGAATGAGGTTGGTTATAGTTCATTTAATTTACTAGCAGATTTTACTTAAACATATTGCAGAAATATTCAAAATATTGGTGTGAAAAATATGGGCCTAAAACGAGTTGTTGCGAATTGATCCCCTATTTAGCGCTCTATCCGGTGACTGCCGCTGGGCGTCCAGCCGGAGTTCGAACAATGAATCACACTCTAAAACAAAGAAAAACATCTATTCACGTATGTAATGAGTGAAACATGTTCTCTGCAAGATTCACTCCAAGAATTGACAGAGTTTGTTGCGCATTGCCCGTGAAAATCACCCATCTTCGAAAACAGCGAACTCGCCAGACAACCTCTTGTACCAAGTCTCGCCAAAGTAAAAGAGAATGTGCTACGACGTTAAAATCGGGCCTAGTGACTCTTCATAGCTTCTAGTTACACCTGTTAGCGGTTGAACCCGGATATTTTCCACCGTTGCCAAGTTACAGCAAAATTCCGGTTTTTTTGGTTCCTTCTCGTACTTTTAAGAACTCCAACATTTTGGGGCCCTCACAGGGCGTGGCCACGTACCCCAACTTTTTTTCTAATGGCAACCTCCTTTTTGTGACACGTCGACCAAAAGAGGGTAAACAAAAAAGTCTTTGGCGCAAACCGCAAGTCAAAATCTTGATTTGTAACAAAATGGCGGCCAGTCAAAGTTCCGAATAAGGCAAAAATTAATATTTCCGTTATTTACCGGTAAATTCGCGTAAAACTTCGTTCCTTGGATTTTTTGCATGGTTTTCTCCTGCGAATTTAGCATTCCTTTTTATGAGAAAACCAGTTTGTTTCCAAATGGCGACCGTAAAAATGACAGTTCAAGAGAAAATTACGAGTGTCTCAGCTGTTTATCAATGGATTTACATCTAAGTTCGTGCCTGAGAGTTATTTGGTACGAGATAATTGAATCCGGCATTGCTTCTTGTTAACAGCTGAGCTACTCGTAGTTTTCTCTTTAATCGTCATTTTTACAGTCGCCGCTTAGAAACCAACTGGTTTTTCAAAAAACTAATGCCGAATTCGGTTTTCTCGTGCCAAAAAACCGCCGGGTGTTCAGTTTCACGCGAACTCTCCGGTAAATAACGGAAATATTAATTTTTGCTCCATTCGGCACTTTGACCGGCCGACATTTTGTTACAAATCAAGATTTTGCGTTGCGGTTGGCGCCAAATATTTTTTATTTATGCTCTTCCAATTGATGAGTCACAAAAGGGGGTTGCCATTGGAAAAAAAAATTGGGGTCCGCAGCCAATCCCCGTGGGGAACCCGAAAATGTTGGAAGTTCTTAACAGTGACTAACATTAATCTATGAACATCTCCAAAGTTTCGTCTCAAAATATTAATGAGGTAAAATTTTAGAGGGGTGGAAGGGACTTTTCGTGTTGTTATGTTTCTAGACCCATTTCTCTGAATTTGCCGTCGAAATTGAGCTAAAAATGATTTAAATGGCTGTAATTTGGGATTTTTCCAAATTTTCAATCGTTAGGTCATGCATTGTTCAAGCAAAATTGTACAAAATACATACTCTTGGATTTTCAATTTTTTTTTCTACTTCAAGCTTAGGATTTAAACTTTAGGATAACATACTTTTTGCGATTGTCATTGTACATTCATTGGAAC